TGGAACATCAGTTAAGAACAGGGGCCAATACGCCCGGGGTTTTTCAGACTCAAATTATCTGGCGGATAACAAGCGGATTCAACGATAGAATTGTGAAGGATCGGAGAACACAGGTAGAGAGGATCGATGGCTATTCCGATAATCTCGATGCATTACTCAGGGAGTTTGGAATTAATCTGCAGTAGATTGGATCGCAATCCATCGGTGTCGGCCACTTGCGTACTAGTACCCCGAGAGGATATAGTCAGCAAGAGTCATAATGGCTAGAAGTGTTCAAATGTGTGGGTACGGCACTATCTTAATAACTTTGTACGAAAATACGACACAGTAGTAAGAGTATACTGCGGGCACGCTAAGCGAGGAGGAATTTTGTATGAAGGTAGATTGGTAGTAGTTCTTGTCCTTAATTCTCTTAAGCGAGATGGGTGGTAACCCCTATTTATACAGGTGCGCATCCTTCGCGTAACTAAGAGGAAATGTAATGGAAAACATAAGTATCGACGTGTTTGACCGTAACATAAGTAGGAAAAACATAAGTGCGAACGTGTTTGACCCTAAAGAACTGCCAAGGAAATCCCATAAAACATGCGTAAATCTGAGGTGGTGTGAACGGATAATTAGAACATAATTGTAAATCAAATGACCGATGACCGTGCATGATGATGCATAAAATGTAAGAAATAACCCCGAACACCAGATAAGAAAAGCACGCCATAATCCCCTAATCGTATCATGAAATATCAATGAAATATACGTAATAAATACTCCGCTGTAGTAATGTCCGTGAACTAGAAATAATACTAAGTAGAGGAATATACGATATTATCAAGGAGAATATACATATGAAACGAATTAGAAAATTCAACAAGAAGAGCAAGATTCGCTGGCGGGCTTAATTGACCCAGATTTGCTCGGGGCACGTGAAGATTCCCTGTGGCATGTAGATGAAACTGGACCAGAGGGTGAGGAGGAAAATATATTTATTAGTGTGTGATCCTGTATCTGCGAGAGAAAAAATAATATAGTAGATTATGAAACATCTGGAGGTATGAAGACTAGAAAAGGGAGTCCGGGGAGAATGTGGATGGAATGCGGACGATAAAACACGACTTTGTAAATACCTCTTGCCGATATAAAGAAATACAACGTGGGATTAGAAGATAGGAACAATGGGAGAGGGAACTACGGCGAGGTCCCAGGGAGGGTAGGGACATCCAGACGGGAGAATGAGGTACGGGGCAGAATGCGGAAGAAGCGTAGACGAAAAGGGAGTCAGGAGAGAATGTGGATGGATCGTGGATGATACACGGACCAAATTACACGACTCTGTAAATACATCCTGCAGATATAAAGACATACCACGTGGGATTGAAAGATAGGAACAATGTGAGGGGACACTACGGCGAGATTCGAGGGAGAATGGGGGAGGTCTGGACGAGAAGATCAAGTACAGGGAGAAATGTAGATGGAGGGCAGACGAAACAAGCCATCATGGGAGGAAGAATGGGCTGGAGAGAGCAAATATCAAGAGGGCGCCGGAGGAAGGAATCGGTGGGGGGAATGCATGGGCAAAGGGAGACAAGCGTCTGGGGACGTCTGGGGTGTCTGGGCCAAGGTCCGCATGTTGGGTGGATAGTTGTCATGGGGGGAAGAATGGGTTGGAGAGAGCAAACATCGAGAGGGCTCCGGAGAAAGGAATGGGTGGGGGGAATGCGTCGGCAAAGGGAGACAAGCGTCCGCGGATGTCTGGGGTGTCTAGGCCAAGGTCGTCACATTGGGTGGATAGTTGCCAGGGAGGGTCCTCCCGACGATGTCTGGTATGGGCAGATGCAAAAAGGGCGCGTGCGGATGGAATAGGTCCGGGCATGCCCATCCAGAATGCGAGTTTACATTTACAACTTCCAGAGAGTCTGACGCACAGAAAGTACAGGATGCAAAAGGGATTTTTTGCTGATACAGCCCTCTGTCCCTCCCCTACCTCCTACCCTTCCCCATACCCAGCCTCCTGGCCTGGTAGCCCCTCCCGCTTGGGCTACCGTCGCTCGGAGGGCAAAGAAGCCCTCGCAGAAACCTACAAAGCCTGGTTCTAAGCAAGCCAAATCCTCCTGTACTTCGGCTAAGCCCCTTACCAAAAGGAAAAAGGGCCTCACAATACGGGAGTGTCGGCTGATTATCAAGCAAGATACCATCCCCCTTACCATCACTGTTACACAGCTACGCGACAGCAACAACCTGGCTTTGACCTCTACTCTTATTCACTCTGTCTTCTGCTGGGATGGACATGTCACTCTCACCACCATGGACATGGTTAGAGCCACTACTGTCAACAGCAAAGTTGGCATTTTCTTGCACCTTATTCTTGGTGCCTCTACCGTCCACCTTGACACACCTGCCACCCAGCTTCTAGTATATGGCATCGCTACCTCCACCTCTATGGCATCACTTGCCCAAGAACTCTCAACATTTAACTCAGGCTTATCTCTTACCGAGCAGCCTAGGTGGCTTACCTCAGATCTAGCATGCATCGGCAAACTTGCCTGCAACATTGTTATTTCCATCACTGGACCCAAGGCTCCTTCCTTCATTGGCAAACACCTCTCTGCCTTCTCCAATACCCATGGAACTGAGCACCGTCTACGCCTCTACAAATACACTCAGTGTACCAACTGCTATAAGTTTGGTCACCATAGGATCAAGTGCATCCTGCCTGTGTCCTGTCGCTGGTGCCTCCTCTCCCACCCTACTGGGGTTCACTCCAGCCCCACCGCTACCTGCCGTCCTCACGGCCGCCCCTGCAGCCATGCCACACTCACGTGTGTGACCTGTGATGGCCCATACCAATCCCACTCGCCTGTTTACCCTTCTCGTCCCCATCCAAATACCCAATAATCTGAGGCCTCAGAGGGATATGAAGAAGAGGTGGACATGGTTGGCTCGACATAGGTTGGGATACGTATAACAATAATGCCCTCGCGGTGTCTCGGGTTGGCTATTATGGTGCAAGGGGTGTGACTGTTAGGCCTACCTTGACTGATTGCTTAGAGAAAACTGGCTTCGTACTACCCCTCTGTCATGGCCCTCTTAAGGGACAGTACTGGAACATTTTCCTGGGTACCAGCTGGGGTTGATTTTGGTAGATTTATTTTGTTATGATATTATGAGGATTTTAGGTGTGAGGCTGGGGCAATGCTGCCGGTGGTAGTAATTTATTGATTGTGCTGGGATTTCCGTCGCCTGGCTAGGTGGAGCTGATGGGTGCTGAACTGGTGATGGACTTGTACTTTAGCTATGGTGTTGGTGCTCGCTCACCGGAGTGGTTAATGGTATGGGAACGGAGAATTGGTATCTTGTAATTAGTTGCCTGTTTTTAGCAGGGGTAGCAGGGCCCCAGTCCCATCAGTGGATCCCGGCCGGCGTTAAGCTCCTGTTGGGGGAGCACTCGATCATAAGCCATGTTTTGGCCTGACGAGTATAACTAAACTTAGATATTATTTGGACACCTGTACCTAGGAATTACACTTTCTACTATCTGGCATCCTCGTGAATCCCGAACCCTAACCCTAAACCTCCAAACCCCGAACCTCGTACAACTTGCTTCGGTTGTGCCCCCGCACCCAGACCTCGTCTCCTGAATCCTACCTGTCCTGATTGTGGTGTGCCTTAAGCTACCTGACCCTCAGACCCTGTCCGTTACATACTGGCAGCATCTTGAGATTGGCATATCCATCAGATGGATGTTCTTACTGGCTTTTTGTATTCCAAGATTGATGGCATAATCCTGATAGAATGCCCACTGGGCGTTGAATAGCTGGATGAGTCCTTTAGCAACAAAGTTTGCCTTTTACAGAAGGCACTCTATGGGTTGAACCAAGTCCTGCATCTCTGGTTTGAGGAGATTGAAAGTAAACTAGGAGGAATAGGATTCATTCAATCGCTTGCCAATTCAAATCTCTCCACATCTGCTACAGTTATTCTTATCCTATCTGTAGATGATATACTAATTGTCTCACCAGTTCTTGGAATGGTAGAGTATATTAACAACAGCTTATCACTACCAAGTATGTTCCTATTGAACAAATGACCACCGATATCCTCATGAAACTACTTCCACAAGATTGCTATTAGAAACACCTTCAAGGACTGGGAATGAGTGCATCAGCTGCTAGGAAATATGGATTGCAGTGGATGGATGGTCACGTATTGGGTTGAGTACTCTTCCGCTGACTAAAATACATTTTTACCTCTTCCCAGAGTTTTTTTTGGCTTTAAGCAAGGGTTCAAGGAGGCTACGCAGGGTTGTTATTTCCTTACTGATTTATTTTCTATGTTATTTTTCAGTTCTGGCTTATAGTTTTAACTATGAGATATGGAAGGAGCAGGAGTGTTGGAACAATCTTCCATATGTGGTAATGGGTATCTCATGTATCAGGAGAGTGAATGAGTAAGGATGTCACGACCTAAATGGGAGGTATGAACTAGTATAGACATCATTATGGGATGAACTGTGACTACTTGTACTACTATAAGTATGAGCCAAGTCCCTCTTAGTTAATAGAAGTAGTGAATCGAACAATCCCCTGTGAGTTGCTACAACACATTGCAAATTGTGCTATCGTGTCATACCTTCCACCAAAGGGTCTTGCAGGTTTCTGAGATACTCCCATATTATGTCCCCTCACGTGCAGCAAACAAATGGCCCTAAGAGAACACGTACAAGCAGCGATAGAAGGGAATCTATGATTCCTGATGCTTGTCAACTCCGCTAGGGCAGAGCGCCCAGCCGAATTCTCTACATGCCTCCATACCACACTTCGAACAAGGCAATTAAAGCATTTTGTATTATACCCCACAAAAGCATTCAGGGGTATGATCTCATGCTGTGTAAATATATACCTTGAAACACCCTATTATGGTACTGTACAATAGGAGTTTGTGACACAGAACTAAGGGTCTAGTAAGTTTATCTAGCGAGTATTCATCTAAAAGTGCTACGCGCAACGGGGAGTGAAAAGATAATAATATTCCGAGAATAAGACAAAATGTTGAAACTGAGTATACAATTGTTACAGGATCTCTGCATTTTTTTTTTGGAAAAAAGTTGTCAGCCTTGGCATTCCCGTCTTGTCAGCCTTTTGTAGCTCCTTAGTGGCACGGCTAACACTCTTCTTCTGCTTCTTTTCTGCTGCGCCTTCTCCCTTCTTACGTTTTCGGTCAACAATCTCTTCTTCATCTTCAAGGCTCCGTTTGAGCGGATAGTCGTCCAAACGCATTGCGGTTGCCTCTTGCCGAATTTTCGCCAATTCCGCCAGATAGTCGTCCAAGGGTGTGAAATCATGTGACTTCTGCAGAGAGTCGGAGAGTGCTTCTGCGATGGAGACGGACAGATAGTTATTTGATATGAACTCACTTGCGACTCGTATGCGTAGGAGACCCGTAACCTCTTGCGAAGCTTCTGAGAGCCAGGGTCTTGTGGCCTGCAAATCCGGCGGGGTAGGGACCGCCTCCGAAGGAGCCCCAGCGGCTCCCCACCCCGCCCCCTCTCCGTCCCTATTTTCCTTCTTCTTGACACTTCTGACTTCCAATTCCTTCACACGCCCAGCACCCTCCTTCTTCTCAGCCTCCTCAGCCATTATCTCGGCTATCGGCCTGATCAATGGCTTCCGAATAAACCCCTCCTCCATGCTGGCCGGCAACCCCCCTTTGGCCATTCGGACGCATTTCTCATCCAAAACCCTCATGAGCTTCTCCCGGGAAGGTTTGTAAGCCTTCCCATCACCAACGTCCACACTCTCACAAACTGCCGCAAGTCTCTTCTCTGCAACCTGTGATTTGGCGACCAATTCCCAATCGCCCTCTCCTTCTTTAGTAAGCTCTTCAAACAGATCTCCCACAGGAAGAAACCTGTCAATCGCATCGGCTTCATCGGCAGGGAACAATCGGGGTAAAAGCACAAATATCGGATCCATAGGCGTGCAAATGTATATGCTACCATCTTGTAGTATCTGACCATTTCCGAGCCATTTAGGCGGCCTGCATGGTTCAGGCGGGGGGGTAAGGAGCCATGAGCGAGGGGTTGGGGAGGGCGCAGTCAGTTTGGTAATTTCGTGCAGGCCTTGGGCTGGGTGGATCAAGTAGCGGGTTGGCACGAGAGTGCGTGGGTGCAGGAGAGTAATAATTTTTAGGTCGGTGGCGGGGGGAGGCAAGGGGAGGAGAAGGATGTGCGGCAGTTTTATTGCAGGCATCGTGGATTCTTGGATTAAGATTGAAGCCTGAGTATTCGCTTGTAGAGGAGTAACAGAAGTTTAGAGGAGGGACGCGTTGTGAACGTTGGGGAATTTCCGGGTTCACAATAGGAGTACTTGTACTTGGCAATTCAACAAGAATCCAGAAATCCGCATTAGCGCCTTGGCTTCCTTGGCGCCAAGCATCTATGAGAGGACCAAGTGATATCTTGTGATGGCACTTTAAGCTAAATAGTAAAGATAAAAATTGAGTACACTAACATCCAATTTTGAGAAGAAAAGGTATAGAAGGATAAGGTAACAGACAACAGATATAATAGATAGTAAACAGCATCAACTAAGCAGTATAGGTTCTACAGTCCAGAGAAGTGCAAATTTGTTATCATATGAGATGTTGAATTCAAGGAGTCTGAATCTTACTATCCATTAGAGCAATCCAAGGACTCATATCAGTCATGCTACTATGCTCCTGGTATTCAACTGGGGGGGTGTTAGGTGGCAGCCAATTCTAAGTGAAGAGAATTGTAGCTGAGGCCAAATAAGGTTTCTCAGAGTGTGGTTAAGAAGGGTAGTCACAAAAGTAGGTATCAAAGTATAACTAATATATTGATAAGATCTCTTCTCCATTTGTTGATGATTCAGAAAGCTAAGGATTTTTGACTTGTTTTTGTTTAACTCATATATTCTTTGTTAAAGTACAAGAACGTATATGGAGTGCTAGCTATGGCAAAAACAAAACCTTAATGTCAAAAAAAACTAACACTAAACAAATACCCTCTTAAAGTATCTCCATTTCGTGTGTAATTGAACCCATAGCGCCCCACGCGGCAACTAATTGCGAAAGAAATGATAAGCTCCTTCCCACACAAAAGAAAGCTAAAGCAAAGAAAGTCATAAGTCATGAACGACAACAGAAAAAACTAATTCAATCTGGAACAGGACTGTCACCAGGCCTAGCCCTGGGCCCCACTGCTACGGGGAGAAAATTGGTTTTGGTTGCTGAGATGTAGCATGCAAGACTCCAAAGCAGGTCCTTGCAGGTCTACAGGGGGGCTTCACAGTCTAACGAGTCCACCCCCAGGATATGGAGTAGTCTGGAAGAGGACTTGGAAGGGCAGGAGAGGATGGCCTGCCTTATGGTCTCTGGCTCTAATCTGCAGGAGGCCCAAGTGGGAGGTCTGCCTGGATCCTCCCAGGGGGTGTGGGCAGCTAGATAGCTCTTTCCAGCTCTCATCAGATGTATTCTCCCACGCAAGAACTGCACAAGACTCATAAAGGGATGCGGGGTCTTGGGGGGAGAGTAAGGGTAGTACCACGGAGGGGGGGCTTGCAGGGCCCAATCACAGAAGAGGACGGACTTGGTTGCAGCCTTGAAGAGGAAGTACCTCTGTGAGGAGGCAAGGGTATGAGTAGCCCTAGAGACCAGGTACCGGTTGACGCCCGGCAAGGGCCCACTGGTAGTGAGAGAGAGGAGGAAGTGTACAATACAGTCAATAGGGAGGTGAGACCGAACTGCCGGCACTGGCCTGGGGTTCTTCCAGCAGAGGAGGTAGGCATTGCACTTCAATCCCACCCAGAGGGCCCAGTCGGAGTCCGAGGCCCTCCTAGTTGATGGAGAGGGAAAAGAGAGGAGGAGTCTAGCAGAAGCAGGATTGATCTCGGGTGGTGAGCAGGCTATTTGGAGGGCTGCCATGTAGCGCTTATGAGGAAGAAGTACCACTAGTGAGGGAATGCTTGCCTTGCAAGATAGGATGGTGGTAGGGGTAGAGTAGAAGCAGGTGGCCACCCACCAGAGTACGCGGTTCAAAAAAACTTCTATCTTATGCAACGCAGAGGCATTGGGGATGAGCAGGTCAGCTCTATAAGAGAGCATAGGGAGGATCAGGCCAATGGCTAACCTCTGGTTAAGAGAGGAAGGCAGACCTGCTCCTAGGGGGGAGAGTTGTTGGACTATTGCAAACGCCCCTTGGTTGAGAGCCAGCCTCGTAGCGAAGTAAGGAGAAGTTTTCAAACTAGGAGTAAATCAATAGCAAAGCCAGTGCACCAGCCCTGAGGGGTGGAAAAGAGTACCGTCCAAGGTGACTGGCGTAGAACAGTGTCTGCCATGATCCCTAGGGGTCCACCAGTAGGTGAGTTCAGTCTTGGGCAGAGTGAAGGACATGCTTATACCCCCTGCCCTCTGCTGCAGAACCAAAAAATAATGCTGTTGGCACTGCACATTGCACCTGTAAGATGGAGAGGCCACAGTGGCAGTAAAGTTATCGACATAGGAAAACATAATCCCCTGAGGGATAGACATATGGAGAGGAGACACATAAATGACAAAAGGAAGAGGAGAGATAGGAGGGCCTGAGGTACCCCCACCTGAACTGGTGAAAACACATTTGGGGCACCGTGGAAGAGAAGATGACAATGTCTATTAGAAAGAAAAGACTGAACTAAGGCGCAGATGTAAGGGGACACCCCCATAGAGTTCAGGAAATTGGTTAGCACCAATGAGTCGATGTTGTCAAACTCCCCCTTCATGACAAGGAAGAGTGAGGAGGCTTTGAGCCCCGGCCTTTGTAGGCAATGGAGTTTATGTATTAGGATAGTGCTGTCACGAACTGTGACTAAGCAAGGCAGATTCCACATAGCTCGGATTTCCGAGTTATAGGTTATTATGTTTATCTGTTCGTGACTCACAGTTGTGAGTCACACGATGTTATGATTTTCGCACATGACTCATACTTATGAGTCATGGGTTTCACTCAGGTGACGCGAGTTGCGCACCTGACTTGGTTATTATGTTTTGATTGGTTTAGGCATGTTGCGCAGCGACTCATAGGAGTCGTCTGATGGATTTCATATGACTCATGATTATGAGTCACAGGGTTCGCGTGACGCGAGGTATGAGTCACGCCAGGTGAAGAGCAACTATATAAAGGGTCACTAGGACCCTGAGTATGAGCTCTTCACACGTTCTTCTTGTTTATTTCCTACCTTTAAGTTATTATCAATAAAACCTACCGTTACACTCTTTACCTCAACTGTAATAACGCCTCCTTTTTAGATTACTCGACGGGATTTGGTTCTGTGGCGCTGTTCCTCCTCGCGAATGCGGGATTGGACTGCGCGGTAAGATTC